ACTGAGGGATTCTCTGTGATCTCCTCTCTCTCACTGTGTCTCCTGTCCTGTTGTACTATATGTGTTTATTACTGAGGGATTCTCTGTGATCTCCTCTCTCTCACTGTGTCTCCTGTCCTGTTGTGAGTTTATGACTGAGGGATTCTCTGTGATCTCCTCTCTCTCACTGTGTCTCCTGTCCTGTTGTGAGTTTATGACTGAGGGATTCTCTGTGATCTCCTCTCTCTTACTGTGTCTCCTGTCCTGTTGTGTGTGTTTATTACTGAGAGATTCTCTGTGATCTCCTCTCTCTCTTTGTGTCTCCTGTCCTGTTGTGTGTTGTGGGCCCCATTCAGATGCAGACTGGCCTGGTAGGGCCAGGACCCCGACTGGGCAAACTGGCCCCCAACAATCCTGGTGTTGAGTACAGCCTGTCCACAGGCTGGAGCTTAGAGAAATAAAGAAGCTAAGTTATTGCAGGTCCTGGAGTTTCTTGCTTCAGTTGTTTGGTTAGTGAACTGGAGTTGAACCTGACTGGATCTTTCAAATTGTGTCAGTTACTAATAATCAAGTAACATGGGCTGAATATAGGTCCTTTCATTTGAAGCTGTTTTTATGTTTTTTAACAAGTATGTTGTATCACCTGCTCAGTTAAATCATCATCTCTTGTCTCTCACTGGATTCTCTGTGATCTCCTCTCTCTTACTGTGTCTCCTGTCATGTATGTTTTTATTACTGAGGGATTCCCTGTTTTCTTCTCACTGTGTCTCCTCTTATGTTGTGTGTGTTTATTATCAGGAGATTCTGAGCATTCAGCTGTTTTTAAGTGATCCTGTTCATTTTTAAGAACAATATTCTTACCAGTCTGGGGTTGTGATTCTGAAATTTAAAAAAAGAAGAAAGGTCTCATTAGACAGAAAAGAGCAAAATTATTAATTTACAACAGAATCTAAGGACTACAGAAGGGGCTCTTGTATGGAGCGAAGTTGATTCCTGTAGTCCATACACACACTGCAGGTTTCAACCTGTAACTCTGATTTCCCAAGAAAGTTTCCCAAGACAGCTGGGGGAAAAAAAAGACCTGTTTGGGCTAGGGAGAAATTTCCTCGTCATTTGCTGGAGTGTAATTAAACCCTCAAGTAAGACAGTTGTCTTTAGTGTCAGATATTTAGTGGCTGTTGCTACAGTAGCAAAGACGCATTGCACGGTTTTTCCAGGAATTCCAGTGAATTCGGAATCAGCAGTCTGGTCTTTACCTGGACTCACTGGTGAGTTCACACTTGAAAGTGTACTGAACCCACTATTTCTCATTGTACTTGTTCTTGGTCTCAAGGCCTTAGTAATATGTCGTAACACTCAGTTTGTTGTAAAAGAAAAACTGATTTCCTTTGTGGCTAGTCTTCTTGGGTGTATCCATTGTGCCACCAAATCCATAATAAAGAAACTGCTGAAGTCTTTCTGCAAAGTCTGGGTACTAGCAGAGTAGATATTTTACATCCCCTTCTACCAAAGCCTGAACCCTGTTTTCTTTCACTTCCTCAAAGTTGGTAGGAGTGGACTCTGCTGCTGGTTAATATTTTAATATATTACAGGTGGAAAAAAAAAAAGAAGACCTGTTTGGGCTAGGGAGAAATTCCCTCGTCATTTGCTGGAGTGTAATTAAACCCTCAAGTAAGACAGTTGTCTTTAGTGTCCGATTTTTAGTGGCTGTTGCTACAGTAGCAAAGACGCATTGCACTGTTTTTCCAGGAATTCCAGTGAATTCGGAATCAGCAGTCTGGTCTTTACCTGGACTCACTGGTATGTTCACACTTGAAAGTGTACTGAACCCACTATTTCTCATTGTACCTTCACAGTGGCTGGCCCTCAGTGTTCGCACTGGAAACTTGCTGCCCTTCCTTCCGGCCACAAGGGGTCAATGTTCCCCAAGAAGCTGAGCGAACCTTGACGAACACAGTGATTGTTTCGTACAGTAGTTTCGATCTGTACTGTGCAGTACCGTCACTGGTTGACAGTAAATAATGACAAGTTTATTATACATTGTTGCCTTGCCCAGCCACAGGGGAGCACTGTTACTGAGAAAACATAGGAGGTTCCTACAAGCTGAAAGCCAGCAAGGACATTCACTGGGACCTGTTTTGCTACAGCTCTTTGGTGAGCCTGTGTCACTGTGTCAGGGCACAGAAAAGTGAATGTCTGGACTGCAGCTCAGTCTGTGTTTTGCAAAGTAACTGAAGAGAAACTGAAGAACTGAAGAAATGGATGCTGTCAATAGATGGTGAACAGGTTATTAGTGTGGAAATAATCGAAACACATTTTTTAATTGTACCAGGAACTGAACGGAATGCTGGGATCTGTTTTAACAGGTGCCAGATAAAGTTTACTAAAGACAGAGGAGGTTCACAGCATTTATTAAACTCCCATGTCATAAAACACAAGTAGTTTATTTTTTTAAATCGGTTTGATTTTTTAAAATCACGTTCACATTCAAAATCTCACCCCTGCTGTCAGGCTCAGAGTCCGAGTGGTTTGTCTAAACCCTGACCCTACTCCTTGCTCCATGTTCCATGTTCCCTATTTCTTCTCATTTATTCCTTATTCTGTATTCCCTCTTCCCTGTGCAATATTCACCTTTCCAATATTGTTCTTGGCTTAAAGAGTGGTATCTGTTTTCTGCCCCAAGCCAGAGAGCTCTGCAATGTGTAAAAGCCCAGATATCAGGAAATGGCGCAGAACACGAGTGTTGTGTTCATCTAAAGTGAAATTCGGGGGTGAATATGGCTCCCAGTACGCATTGATGGCTATAAGCGTTTCTAAAGTTTTGTATGTTTTGAAAAAGAGGGAAAAGCACTTTTCAAATGTAGAAATAAACAGGAGGCCAACATACAAGATGAGTCCTAACAAATGTCACAGTTCTCACATTAGCAACAGGAATTTAAGATTTTTTCTTATTTCTCTGCAGTTGTAACTGTCGGAACACTCGATACTGAACACAAGCTATGTTTCATAGTCAGCTTGAAGGAAGTAAGGAGAATATTTGAACACTGATGTCATATTGATAAGCTGCAGGACAATGGAGGGAGGGAGCAGGGTTCCTGTGTTAAAGGCCAGTGGTCTGAAACTGGTACAACTGGTTTTCATCATGAGCCTCAGGGCCTCAACCCTTTCTGTGCTGGAGTGGGTCTGTACAGAGCCCCACAGAGAAAGCAAGAACATCCAGAAATAAAGCACTGCAGGAGCTTTCACATGTTCACATGCTCCCATTCTTAGCAAAAGAAAAACCCAGCTGTCTGTACACCCATAATGGAAATACTTGCTAGAAATTGCCCCCAGGATGCCCTGAGCTTGACAATACATTTCAGATAAGACTGAGAAGTGGGTAGAGATTCAGGTCAAATAAGTCATTTTTAGGTCGTACATGCTAGTGGGAGAAAGTGTGTGTTCACACCAGGAGAAACAGGGATTGTAGGAGAGTTATTGCTCTCAGCAGTGCATAGAAGAGCGTACAGGATTCCAGTCCAGTAGAGAGAGAGCTCCTGAAAACGTGTGTAATTACTCCAGGAATTAGAGCCAGTCCGATGGGAAAATGACTTGGAAGTCTTAAACACAGCCTTGACTTTTATGTGACAGATACAGTCTTGATTGTTAATTTTCAGAACGTCCTGAATAGATTTTAGAAGTATTCTGCTGGGTTTTCAAATGGAATATTTTGGTGGTTTCAAAATCATGACCGACAGCCCTATGCCTGTGGTTATGGGACTAGAGAGTGATCCAGCAGGTTTTCTTACAGCTCTGGCAGTCCTTCAGGTCTCGAAGCCCGAGGCAGTCATGCTGGCTGCAGTTCATTCCTGCTAATCTCATAATAACAGTAAAACAGATTTGTACGGAGGATGGAATCATGGTAGAATGTAAGACATGTATAAAGAATAGAAATATAGCTGCATCTTCCAGCTGACAATGAGCTGAAGTCACTAGAACCTGTTTCCTGATTGGTGAAGAGAGGTCTTCCCAGTCTAGAAACAAACCCAACTTTTAGTTTTTCACCGGATTCCAAGTCAGTCCGTTCTGTATGAACTCGGTTCTTCAGGATCTTGGTGTGGTGGATGTATCTGACATATTATTTCATTATAGTTTCAATGGAAATTTCAGTCATGATATTTTCTTGTATTGTACCACGGGTGGCAGTTTGCGTTGCTGTCTCACAGCTCTTGGGTACTGTGTTAGATTCTAGACCGTGGCTCTTCTCCATGAAGAATTTGCGTTCTTGCTGTGTCCATGCAAATGTTTCCCAGGTGCTTCTGTTTCCTTGCCCATTACAGGGGAATGCTGCCCAGGTTAATTCCAGGTTAACCGGCATCACTAAAGTGTCCCACCTGTGGACTATGCACTGTCATCCAAGCCAGAGTCCTACCTTGCCTTCTGAAGCTGTTGGGTTAGGCTCTCGCACACCCTTTCAAGTTAAATCATTTGCAAAAACTATACTATATTCATGCACCAGGAGTGCCAAGCCTAATTTTGATGCGAGTACCCATTTTAAATCCTTTTTCTTATTTCTTCCAACAAAAAAATCCAACAGGTACCCAACAGAAACTTTTCCAGCTTGTGACATTTTTCTTAGATTCTGAAATACCCTTATGGATTCAGTTGGATTCCAGTCAGAACATTGTGACAGCTAATATCTTTGTTTCCAAATAATTTATGTCCTATAACAACATTGTGTTCTGGATTCCTGTTCTTCTAAATTGTTTTTTAATCCCCCCCCAAATAATTCAAAATTGGCCTGTACTCTTGCTAGAAAATCAGATCTAAAATAGAAACTCTGAACACACAAATAGACAGTGACAGTCAGACAGATTAACATAGACTGATATGCACACAGGTAGGCACAAGGGTTACACACATACAGTTAGGACAATAGCTTACCTGTTGGTAACAGCAGCAAAGCCAGGAGAGAGAACAGGTTGCCTTGCAGTGCCATGGTTCACAGTCTGACTTGCTTCAGGTATCACAGTGTTTGTACCCTGTCCCCCCACCTCCTGCTTTAATGAGGAACAGAAATACACCTGTCTGTCACATACCTCTCTCTCTCTCCCTCCCTCTTCTCACCCACCCCTTCACTCCAGCTTTGCCTCGCCTTCCCTCTGTCATCATTCCTCAGGCTGTTAGCAGTTTCAGTGGATTCTAGTGATCTCTCACCCACTCGGTTTGTTTGACGTCTAAAAACAATCCTTTCTTAACAAACACACCCCCCCTATAGGACAGGAGACATCGTGAGAGAGAGGAGATAACAGAGAATCCCTCAATAATAAACACACAACAAAACAGGAGATCCCAGAGTATCCCTCAGGAATAAACACACAACTGGACAGGAGACAGAGAGAGGAGATAATAGAGAATACGTCAGTACTATACACGACACAAAAGGACAAGAGATGGAGAGAATAGAATAGAATCTTAATTTCCACACGACCGTTGCTGCAGACATTTGACCTGTGACAATAACACACAGAATATAAATACAGGACCAGAATGCACAATATACAATACAGATTGTTGAAATACAGGACGACGAGAGACGGTACACAATACAGAACATAAATATTCACTCTCTAATCGAATAGGCAAAAAAAAATGCTGAGTTGATGACCTGCAATGTAAACATAGACAAATAGACAAATATAAATATAGACAAATCAGTGCAATTTAAATGTGATACAGATCATAAAGCACAATACTAAGTTTTTGATAGTTGGGGGCACATTACTTGTTGAGCAGCCTAACAGCAGTCGGGAAGAAGCTGTTCTTGAAACGTGAAGTTTTGGATGTCAGGTGATCTGAAACGTCTACCTAAGGGGAGCAGCTGAAAGAAGTCGTGTGCAGGGTGAGATGGATCCGCAAAAATCTTGTTAGCGCGTATGGTGGTACATTGGGTGTACAATGATTGAACTGAGGAGAGAGCACTGCCAGTGATCTTGGAGGCCTTCGTAACAATGCCTTGAAGCCTGTTCCTTGTTAGGATGTCCATGCTTCCGTACCACACAGAGATAGAAGATGTCAGAATGCTCTATGATGGCTGTGTAGAATTGGACAAAGAGGTGTTGACTGAGCCCAAACTTACTTAATTGTCTGAAGAAGTACAATCTCTGATGTGCCCTCATGATGCGATGGTCTGTGTTTATGTGCCATTTTAGAGAGCTACAGATATAGGTGCCCAGGAATCTAAATGAGTCATCTATGGCTAAGAGGAGATATGAGAGAATTAATAGTAATAAATACACAACAGGACACTAGCCACAGTGAGACAGAAGCCATAGTTATGATGTAATGGAAGTTATTTTAATGGAAGTCCCCAATGAACTCCCTGTTGCTACCCTGGCTTGCTAAAAACTGTATTATAGGAAGAATAAAGCATGAAGAATGAACTATGTTGGGTAGATTCCATTCTGTCTTCAGAGAAGAATATAATTCTGACAGAACAGTGGACCACTGAGTTCCACCTTTAAGAGGACAGATCTGTCCATGTGTGAAACCATGTGTGAAAGGAATCGAATGTCTCATTCAGACTCTGAAAAAATGGCTGTGAAAAGAGACGTGTTTGGACAAAAAAAGGCATTTGGAGAGTTGGCACTCTGGCTCTGTCACAGCCCTCCCTTAAAAACTCTTAGGACAGGAAAAAAATGATCATTCTAAAATGGAGCAGAATTAATGCATATAGCAAAGAAGTGTCCGGGAAACCACTTTCCAATGAAATCAAGAATCCAAATCGAATGCCCTGGCTCTGTCTATCTTCTGTCCTGCTGGTATTAGCCTAGTCACCTTAATTTCTTTATATTGCCTTTCTGTTGAGGTATGTATAAAACTTATTTTAATTTGTAACAATGTATTTATATTGCGGAAGTGGGTGGAGACAACCTCTCGTGACTCAGCTGATCAACTACACACTCTCCCCCTTCTCTGACAGCGTCTGACATGGAAAAACCAGTTTGCTTACATCCAGCAAGCACTTCTTCAAGCCACAGATACTTGTGTCAATGGAAAATGTGTACTGGATGAAACAGGTCTGCTAGGGTGATGCTGGCACACATACAGACACTAAGAAGCACAGGGACATTCCCTGAGAGAACAGCCGCAGACCAGGGGAATGTGGATTCTTTCACTTTAGGTTGCATATAGAAACAACAACATACTTAAGATGAACTTTTTTAAAATAATAGATAAATTGCTTATTTACCAGATAAAGTAATTGCTTTTTCAGTTAATATATCTCTTGCAAAACTACATGTTTTACAAGTCAAAGGCTTGATCACTACTTATTTCTAAAATATCTGTAATACCAGTGCTAATGTCCTCATATCACCACAACGACAGAGCAGAGTCTCAACTTGGTCTGTTAAATTATCTAACGTAGTAATGACAACACAAGTGCAATCATCAATACCACCTATGTGCAATTAAGCCAGCACTTTCCTTGTTACTTCCAGGTCTGGAAGCCTTGACTTCACATTTATAATAATACAATATGCTTTATATAGTGTGTTTAAAAGTAGCATCTTAAAGAGCTTTACAGTAGATTGAGAAAACCGTTATGAGGATAGCAAATTACAAAGTATGTTGTATGTTGATAGGCTTTGCCTGTGAAGACTCAGTGTTCTTGTGTGCTTCCCAGAGTTTTCCTTGTCTACTGACTACAGTAACAGTCTTGATAGGCAAAGCCCAATAATAATATAATAATAATACACTTTATTTTATATAGCTCCTTTAAAGGGGGCTTCTCAAAGTGCTTCACAGGATGACAACAACAATAAATAAAAAGAATACACAAGATAAAACACAATTACAATATACAGAGGAGACATGGATGGTGGTACTAAGAAGGGCAGAGGGGTGAAGAATGGAACCAGTTAAGTAAAGGCTTTTCTGAAGAAGGGTTTTGAGTCTGGATTTGAAGGAGTTTAGAGAAGGTGACTCTCTAATATCATTAGGGAGAGAGTTCCAGAGTGTCTTTACACTGCGGATTGCAAACTCACCGTGCAGGTGTCCACCCCTCCGTGTTAATTCCCAGCGCACATCAGCTCTTTCGTAATCTTGCTGTTGTACATGGATTCACAGCGCCTGTTGTCCATGATGGGCACTCAGACTTCCTGCGGAGTGTGAGGGAATCCCAGTTGCACTGGAGTGACAAAGAGGGAGATGGTGCTTATTTGCTACGTAGCTAAAGACAAGTAGAGTGACATGGATTATTCATTACTCTTTATTTCCAATGCCATCCCAGGTAGAAAGCATTAGTTTTCTTTAAAGAAAACTCACGAGCGCTTTCCCATCACAAGGACAGGAAATCTCCCTGCAAATTCATCACCATGAGGACCCTGGAGGTTGGCGGTGGGAGGGGTCATTGGCAGATTGCGTTGCACATTTTTGGAGCTCTGTGCCCAGCAGAGAGAAGCTGACAGGATCCAGACCCTGGTTATTGCTGAATTCAGAACATTGTGACAGCTCGCCAGAAGAGGATAGCAGTTTATAGGCTGATGTTCAGTAAAGGACACTGAAAGTGAGATCTACAGTACATCAAGGGCACTAATGTATTGCTGAGATCATCATGTTGTCTTCCCAGGTTCTGGGATGGCCGACATCATGGAGGAGACAGGGTCCTGACAAGGGCCTGTGAAGATTATGAGGTGGTTCTTCGTGTTCGAGCAAATGACATTTACATATGTGGCCATCTTACCACATGAGACACATTCAGAGACTTTAGAAATAAATTAAAGAGTTGGACCCATTTAAGTGGCTTTCTCAGAGTCTGCCAATGACTGCATCTTGCTCAACTGAGCGGCTACACACAACAATCTGCAAACGCAACACTTGGCTGAGGACCAGAGACGCTAAAGACGGCTTCTTCAATACAGGAAGTATCTCAATGGCTTCCATCTGAAGGAGTTGGGTGCCTTTTGGCTAGGGGTGAGAATCTACAGGGAGACTTGACTGTATTAGATTGAAGTGGGGGGAGAAATAAAAAAAATGTGCTAGGGGCATATACACGCAATAGAGCGACATAACTGGACCAAGTAATTAAAGACCACCACATCTTATAATATTTGTAAGGTTATGGAAATTTTATTCCAAGTGAATAAAAGCTTGAGCTAGAATGTCACCTGTGTTCAAATAGTGGCTGTCCTTGCAGATCGGCACCATGGTTTTAGAAAAGGCACTGTAGGCATTGCTTGGTTGTTGGTTCAAATGCTGAGAACAGTGAAAATGTTACTTTCTTCAAACAGTCAAATTTAACCACCAGGGACTTCACAACAGGTCATAATAAAGACGCTGTGATTGCTTTAGATAGGCTCAGGTGTGTCTCGCAGATCCCAGAACCTCAAGTTCTGTAAGCCTGACCACCGTAATTCAATGAGCTGATTTCAAAATCCACAACACCCACCCACAGAAACACTGAAAAAATCTGCGTCAAAAGTATCAAAGCTGACATTGAAAATCCTGAAATATGACTGAAAACTCTGATGCCAGTTCTCACATGTACACTCCAAACTCAGAAACATGGTTTGTGCAATGTTTAGAAAGTTCTTTCAATTACAAGATGTTGTAATTAGTGGAATGTTGAGGTGTCAATGTCTTGGGGAAAAAAATGGCAAAGTCTGGGGAAAAAAAACCTTCCACGTTTCTAGAAGACCCATAATGGAGTGATCTACACCATAGCAGGTGATCAGGAGATTGACCTCATTCATATGCATGGTGATATTGGCAACCCATTTTTCAGCATGCAGATCATAATAGCTTTGACCTTTTTTGAAAGAAGCTTTGATTGCATCAAGTCATTCCACAAAGCATGCCAAACATTTCCCAGGGCTTAGCGAACAAACAACGTTGTAAAGAAGAATGTCCTTGTTCTTACTGTCCATGCCCTGGAGCAGAGATGAAAACTGCCTGTACATCGTCAGGTTGAGCAACAAGAAAATTCACATTTTTACTGTAGTCTTCACATTCTTAAGCTCATACTTTAAAATCCTGGCACAAAGATTTTCCAGATGAGAAACACAGTAAACTATCTTATGGTAGCCAAAACAATCAGGCAA